AAAAATGCATATCTTTTTCAAATGCATTACATAATACTATAATAATGCCCTGCCTTAGGAGCTGAAACAGGACATTTCCAGTTTCCGCTATGAAGTTTTGGACCTTCTCGGCAACCGAAAGCTGCCCCGGCGGAACTATTCCTCCAGCAGCGAGGCCACGCTTCGAGACGAGGTCAGCGATGATGGCGAGGCCTGTCACCACAGCGACGGAAGCAGCATCGGGGCCAAGGGTGTGTCTTTCAAAACCATTACGCCCTCGGATCCGTCGTACGGAGTCTCCGCCCTCTTTCGCTCCATCTCCGGAATGGAGGTCGCTACTACTACGACGACGACGTCGGCATCGTCTGCGTACAGGGAGGGTAAACCAAAGATCAATGGACTGAGGAAGAACCCCTCACCCTCCTCTTCCCTATCCTCAGTGGCTCCAGCAAGACCTGCACTTTCACGAACTTGGAGGCGCTTTTCCCGCTTCTCTAGTTCCAAGAAGAACTCCTTCAGACGGCTCGGCCTGCTGTTCTCACGCATGGGCAGCCACCTTCCGCAGCCGGCAGGTGTCACCACTGCAACCTACACTATCTCAGATGGATTGCTTCACCCGCCGGAGGCTTGGCACGACTTGGGCTTCACCAGGGGCGCCGGTCCCGTCACCAGAAGCGAGACCAACCTTAATCAGGTGGACGTAGGCGCTTTAAATGAGGGCGACGGTACCATGACGACCAATGGACAGAGAGCTATCGGAAGGGATGTTTTACTGACATTAGGACCTCTGTCCCCACCCTCTTCCCTGCACTGTACTTCCAGTTTCTCCGCCTCCAGCTCCCGCCTCCTGGATTCAAATGAGGACGTGTTCCAGGGATTGGTCGGGCCCTGTAGCGGACAAACGCCAGACTCCTCCCGCTGGGTAACAGAACAGGACGATTCGGTGACCACGCAGCTATAGTAGTGCTAGTATGTACTGTACAGCACTTTGATAATAACAATAATCAGTGATGATATCAATAACTATTACCTTAACCACAACCGATTCTTCTGTTCGTTCTTTTGTTTGCTGCTGCAATATTTGTCATTTCTTTCTGAGATTTAAACAAATCGAAAGTTATTTACAAGAGAGATGGGATGAGTGAATTAAATGATGGATGACAGAGATTCAGAATGGGACAGAAAAGTGCCATCATCAGAGAAATGCAGGCCAGGTTGCATTTTTGTATCTTCATTACATCCCATTGTTCACCCTACAATGAAAATTCTGAAATCTGTTAATCAATTTCATGTCATTCCAAACCTGTATGATTTTTTTCTTCTTCTGCAGAACACAAAAGAAGATATTTTGAAGACAAAACTAGTTTTGGCTACCATTGACTTCTATGGACCATTTTCACTGATGTCCTAAATTTAGTTTCTAGGACTCGAGTTAATCATAAGTTTCTAAGAATCTAGTTAATACATTTAAATCTAGTTTTTTTTATATTTTGATTTTTAAATAATTTACATTTTCTTATTCATTTTACATTTATAATGCTATGTGTTTTCTTACCTTGGCACTGAATTACATAAAATTAGATAATACTGCTGCGTTTGTGTTTCTAATACAACAGCTGAGGGAGTGACTGCAAATTTGATGTTTTTCTGTTTTCTGACTCACATGATCAATTTCTCAGTATGTTTTTTACTGTTTTGGACAGTCATAGAAACGCTAGATTTTGCTGTTCCGGCAAATGAAAAATTATTAAAAAAATTATATTAGTTGTAGTTTCCAATCACCACTGTAGATCACCATTTCTAAGAACCCCAGAAATGTGAAAACGGTCCATTGTATGGACAACTGAGACATTTCTAAAAATGTTCTACAGAAGACAATAAGTCCAACGGGTTTGGAATGACATGAGGGTGAATAAAGTTTATTTTTAGGTGAAATATCCTTTCAACATCAGAATTAACTATTTAGTTTCTTAATACATATTCCAGATATCATTGTGCATGATTCATCAGCGCATGTTATTCCAAAGAAAAAAAAATTTGTCTTCATCAAAAAATGTAATATCTTGATAAATGTCTTTTTGGCTGATGTTAAGTAGACTGTTCAGGATGTTAATATTAATTAGCCATTTAAACATTTTCTTATTGAATTGTTAGTGCAGTAATATAATGCCAGTTAAAGCTCGTTTTAAAAAGGTTACAACAATAATACAAATTGCAGAGTGTTACTGTTGGGATCCAACCCATCCAACTTTTTTTTTTTACAGTAAATATCCTATTTATTAAAGAATGTCACATTACATTAGTAAAATAGTTTGTGAGTACTGTTTCATGTTGACTTTAACCCTAAACCACAGGAGTCAACCAATTCATGCCATTCAATTCATAATTCAACTTTATATCTCCAATGTGACCAGAAGCATTGTCAGTTCATGTATTTCTTTTTTATAGAAAGTTCTCATTGGAAAGTGTACTTGAGCAAGAAACACATCTGATATGGACCTACAGTGTATGTTTAAGGACATCATGCTCTTGGTGGAACAGGTTTGATGTTTTTTTTTTCTCAGTAACTGATCAGTGAGCCGTTGGCACTCATGCGGTGAAGGTTTTTCACTTTAGTGCTATACGTGCACATCATAGTGTGATATTACTCGTGTTATGCACCCGGAGGGCTGAAGTTATGCTAGAATCTAACATGACTGAAATCTTATTTTTGTATTTTGAATAGCATGTACAAATGATTTAATTTCAAGACTGTTTTAGTCTAGACAGACATTATTGTGTTATGTTTTTCGAGCTGTTTTTTTTTCTTTCTTTGACTGCTTACTTTTTACTGTATGTGAATATTAATTAGTATATTATAATAATCAGGTATTGGGGAGATGTCCAGAGACATGCATCGAATAAGACATCCCCCTGCTCTGCGATGATGAATGCTGATAAACCATGTACAGCGTCATGCTAAAATATTCAGACTTTTGACCAACTCTATTTTACTGTATGTATTATACTGTAAATATGACATTGATGTATTTAGAGGTAATTTTTAATTTGACATGGTTTTATGTTGGAGAATATATATAAAAAGTGCATAAATAATCAGTTTGAGAATATTTAACAATATGGTATTTATATTAGAAAAATGTTCAACAAAAAGGTTACTGTCCTAAGGTCACTATTTTAACATTTCTGAGTGATGCTGTCAGCTTCCAACATATTAAACTGCAGGGGCTGAATGTAACAAAACAATGTCACATTTTAGGATATTTGTTTCAGTGCTTTCAAATGAAACCTCACAAAGGACACAATTGCAAAGTGGGACTGTGTAATCCAGACAGAATTGGTCAACGCCTGATTACTTTTGGCAAGGTGCTGTAAATGCTTATGTATACACTTGAATGAAATACATGCTCCTCTTGTATGATTCTTATCACTTTCTACTTTTCCTTGGAAATGTGTGAACATACGATGAAGATAAAAAGTAGTTCTGACAGCCAGAAACTGAACTCAAGGGAATGCCG